AAGTCCGTGGCCCCCCCCCAACCGGCCCGCCAGTCGCTTACCTCCCCCTTCGACCGGACCGAAAATCAGACGCTCCCAGAGAGCATGGACGAACGCGGACCCGAAGATAACGAAATTCCGGGTGGTGAGTCACAACCCTCATTACAGATAGACTATCAGCGCTTAGCAGCCACAGTGGCTTCCCACCTGAAAACAGAGGTAGCACATATCATTGCAGACTCTCTGCAAACTCATATGGGACCCCTCACAGCAGCGCTGGAGGCCCAGACTCACAGGCTTCAGGCCCTGGAAAGCCGTATGAGCGACTTGGAAGACCAGTCTGCGACTACACATAAAACACTAACAGCGGATGCTCAACTGTTACGCTCTTTGCAAGACAAGGCCGATGATCTTGAAAATAGATCCCGCACGAATAACCTGCGCATCATTGGGATCCCAGAATCGGTAAAACCCAGTGATCTACAACGATTCTGCTCCTCCATAATGCCCCAAGCTCTGGGAATTAGTTCGACCTGCAAAGTAGAACGGGCCCATAGACTGGGGCCCCTAAAGGAATCGGAGACATCTAGGCCTGTTATAGCCAGATTTCTGGATTATTCGGATAAACATTGCATTCTTCAATAATACCGAGCACAGCGCCACCTGGTGGCAGATGGCTACAAGTTGTTATTATTCGCAGACTATTCGGCTGAAATATCTAAAGCGTGCCGCTCCTTTCACGAAGTCTGTCAACAACTGGTCCACAAGCGCATCAAGTTCACTCTGGCCTACCCGGCAGTTCTGCACTTAACGGCTTCAGATGGGAGTCCGTTACAATTTAATTCGGCTACCCACGCCCAAACCTATGTCGATAGACATCTCTCTGAGGTTCCCCTATCTTCTGCCTCCCCGATCAAGAGCCCTCCTCGCAAAAAAAAGACACAAACGCCCACATGACTCCCGATACCTTACAATGTTTGCCTGCTCCGTTGATATGTGCTGAAATGCTGTTGTCGTATTTTACACTACTGACCTCAGTGTTCTATTTAGTGTATCCTAACTACGTATTCTACTACTCCCGCCGACCAGTAAGTGCATGTTTTTGTTTCTTTCACCTTGCTCTTTGCAAGATGGTGAGGCGGTATGCTCCACAGACACTGTTATAGTACCATGTTGGCTTCCCTAGCGAGGGGATTTCCCCCCTCTGTTGGCCGCCACTCTTATGCACACCGCCATCTGGAAAAAAGGAATTACCTAAACGGACTCCATTGTTCCTTGTTTTTTTTTATGGTTTTCATTCATATTAGTCAGTGACCGAGCTGCAAACGCTCCACCCAACCAAAGTTTTCGAGTGCACCTCGATGCCTGGTCACAAGCCCTTCAAAGGGTATCGTACATTGTTTGTCCTACCTCTAGTCTTTCACATTGTTCTCTTAGATTCGTGGAAATATAACTCAGGATCTAGGCCGGGCACTGGGACACCGACAAGTATCCACCCCCTAATTACGCTTATCCTTACTCATCACATTATACCCCTTCTACTTCTGGAATGGGACCCACCTTGAAAATCTCAACGTGGAATGTCAAAGGACTCAAAACTTTGACATTCTCAAAGGCGCACCTGCAAAAGGCCATTCTGCAGGAACTGTAATCCTTATCAACAAAAATTTGGATTGCTCTCTTCTCTCCCAAAAACATGACGTGGTCGAGGGACTATGGTCCCAAGTCTCATTACAACTGGGCGGAAATATACTGGATATTTGGATTATTTATGGACCAAATTCAGATAACAAGAACTTCTATGATGACCTTCTAACCGGCAGTCCCGCACGACCCCAAACACGTATGTCCTCATGGGGGGAGATTTTAATGCTGTCCCTGCCACTCTGGAAGACCGCTCTTGGACCAAATCCCGCCCCTCTCAATCCACTTTCTTCAAGATCGGAACCTATTACACGTCTCAGGCAGCAGGACTCGTGGATATTTGACGTTTTCTACACCCCATGGACAGGGAATACACCCAATTCTCACATGCCCATGACTCCCTCTCCCGATTGGACTATTTTTTCACATCGTCCAACCTAATTTCCAAAACCTCCTCAGTGAAGATTGAAGACCTGGTTATCTCAGACCACTCCCCAGTGTTGCTTTCACTGCATGATTTGGGACAATCCACACGTCCTTTGGTGTGGCGCTTTCCCTCCTACCTGGCCTCCCATGACACCTTTCAAAGTCAACTAGCCTCTTGGTGGACTGATTATGTGCATAATAATGCTTTACATGTGGGCACTCCTGTTTTATTTTGGGAGGCGGCAAAGGCGGTTTTGCGAGGCAAGGTGCTAGCTTATGCCACCTCTCAAAAGAAGTTAACGAGACAAAGGTATGTCAAGGCTTGCACGGCCAGAGAGGCATATTTATCTTACAAACAAAATATTAGTCCCGTAAACAGAACTTTATGGATCCAGGCCAAGCAAACCTGTGACCACTGGATATTGCAATATGATCTCCAAATTCGCTCCCATAAAGAACTAGAATATTTTAAATTCGGAAATAACCCCAGGGAAATTATTAGCAAATCTGGTCCGAGGGAGATCTACCCCCGATCATATACTCAGCCTACTCAACTCCAATGGAGTCTCTTCCCTGGATCCGACCAAAGTTTGTGAGATTTTTAAAGATTACTATCAGTCACTGTACTCAGCGGGTGTAGATAATACCCCCCTGGAATCTTCCTTCCTTGATACGATTACACTGCCCTCCCTCTCCCCAACTGACATATAGGCCCTAAATGCCGCAATCACTCTGCAAGAGGTGCAATCGATGATTAAACTCTCAGCTAATTCTAAGGCTCCAGGCCTGCTACCCGGAAACATTTAGTGCAGCATATGTTCGTTTGGTACCCAAAAAAGGAAAGGATCCGGCCCTTCCGGGATCCTACCGCCCTATATCACTCCTAAATTTTGATGCCAAGTTACTTTCCAAAATTCTGGCTAATAGATTGGCCGTCGTGCGGCCTACTCTCATATCACCAGATCAAGCTGGTTTCGTGAAAGGACGTTCTGCCGTGCTGAACATACGGAAAATTATTACTGCTCGGGAGGGCACGCGTTTGTCGGGCCCTTCCCATCATCCACTGGCACTATTGGCACTGGATGCGGAGAAGGCCTTCGACAACGTGAATTGGTCCTGGCTTCAATTGGTAATGAAAAGGTTTGGTTTCTCTGGCACATTTCAGAATTACATCCTTACTATGTATAGCTCTCCTACTGCGCAGATTTATACTTCCTCAGCCCTGTCCAACCCTTTCCGCCTTTACAAAGGCACTCGCCAGGGATGCCCCCTCCCCCCGCTATTGTTTAATATTGCGTTGTCCCACTCCCTCACCTCTACTAATTTGTTTAACGGCTACCAATCTGGTCCTTTTAACATCAAATTAGCCATGTTTGCTGATGACATTCTGTTATTTTTATCTGACCCATTGACCCAATTACCACTCATCCTGAATCACATAGAAATGTATGGCTTCTTCTCTGGCCTGAAGATAAATGTAGATAAAAGCGAAATCATGCCACTAACACACGACCAATCCTTTTTGCAGGCCCTCTCTTCTGCCCACCCCTCTTTGCAGATCCAAAAACAATACCTGACATACCTAGGTATCTGCATCCCACGTTCAGCCAGGGACATGTATTCCCTGAACTACAAACCCATCATCCAAAAGGTGTCACAAGAATTAAAAACTTGGCAAGATTATCCCATTATCCCATCTCTCTCCTAGGCAGACGTCACTTGATCAAAATGGTCAGTTTCGCTAGGTTACTTTATCCCTGCCAAACTTTGCCCCTTCTTCTTAAACATAAATATATTACCTTCTTACACAAAGCCTTTTCAACTTTTATATGGCAAGGAAAGAAACCAAGGGTGGCCCTAAGGAAGCTACAACAACCTTCTCGGTGCATGGGAACTAACCTACCCAACCTCCGGTTATACAACCTAGCCAGCCTTTTCCGCCATGTACGGGACTGGCTACATGATACCTCCTATTATACTGACATCTCACTTGAGAATCACCTAGTTGCACTGTGGTCCCTCTCAGGAATTTTACATACTCCTATATTCTTAATTTCCCCCACTATTAAAAATAACATCCTATTTAGAGATACTGTATTGGCATGGAGAGAGACTAGGAAAATCACCACCGACAACTTCCAATACATTCAGATTAGACATTTCTTATCTCATCATGTCACCACACCCTGGGAGGAAGTCGTTCACTCACCTATAGCCCCGTTGCTCTCCTCCCCCACCACTAGAATGTCAATCTCCTTCCTCACACAAGCCCTCACAAACTGTACCGACGGCATCTCCACCCATACACCATCCCACCTTCGTAGATGGGCGAAATTTTTACACATCACCATAGAGAACGCAGCATCTCTTATTGAGCGTGGCTGGCTACAGGTCAGAAAAGCTATTATATGTGAATCATGGCGGGAGATATACTTCAAAACAGCCCACAAAGCATACCACTCGTTCAACATCCCTGTCAGACAAGGCCCCTCCACCTGGTTGACCACTTGCCCTAAATGCTCTCTCCCCCTGCCCGACCTAACACATTTACTATGGTCCTGCCCTACTATACAATCATTTTGGATCAATGTCCTTACCTTTATGGACATGCACTCTGGGAGACAGTCCCCCTTGTCCCCAGCCCTATGTTTATTTCATGCCTTCCTCCCAAACACTAACGACATATCAAACACTCCAACACGATGGGAACACTTATGCCCGCTGACTGCCAAGAAAGCAATTCTGAGTAAATGGATACTACCTGATACCCCCACGATCATTTCCTTTCGGACATTATTACTCCGAATCATGTGGTTAGATAAACTAGACACCAGATTTAACCAGGCCTGTACCCAGACATTTTTTGACACTTGGAAATCTTTCATCTTAGCTGAACTGTCACCTGCCCAATTGATCGACCTGATGTCCATATTCCGACTGTCCAAATAGTATCTTGAAGCCAAACTGACTGGCACTTTGGGGGCCTAGATGTCCTTTGACCCACTCCCCATACTTCCCCTTCATCCAAATATTCTTCATCACCATACCAGCTACCCATTTCCTGCGAACCCTCACATTTCTTACATAACCCTGCTCACATTGACCCTCAGTACGTTCCTGAGTACCAACTCACCCCTCTAGTTCCATACATTTGTACTGGAGTAGAATTTACTCTTTATTGCTGTTTATACATGGTTTATGTTAAAATCACTGTCTTGTTTGTACACATTGATTGATGTTTACTCATTGCTGTTGCTGTATACCCTGGAGACTGAAAGCCGTAGCCTTTCCAACCCTGATATTATAAGAAATGTTGTCTGGCTATATATCTCCCGGGGGGTACTCTGCTCCATGTCGTATTACTACTTTAGAGCAGAAAATGGGAGAATTTATAATTGAAGCTGAATCCCTTCATTACATTTGGATCATAAGGACATATTTATAAATCTGACATTCACCAAACTTACACTGCAGTTGAAATTTTCAGGTGCACGTGTTTTAACCCTTTCGCTGCCAAGCCCTCCGGAACATTTTTCAAATCAGCTGGCCACACCATTTTTGCAATTTTTCCTATTGATTTGATTTTCAACTGCTGTGTTGCTAGCATTTGTAAAAGACCCCCCAAATCATATATTTTCTGAAAGCGCAGGCCTGGTAGAATGAAAAGATGGCGATACTAAATTTGTAGGCCCTGCGGTAATTGCGCAAATGTTTCTCAAATTAATATTAAACCGATAAAAATACACAATTCAATTGATAAAGCACACTAAAATCAGTATGAGTGCACAAAAAAATGTTATGACTAAATCTAGAAGATAAAACTGTATTGAGTTAATAATTAACAAATATTTTCAAATTTGTAATTGGGCCTTTTTGCGAAAAGGTAAAAAAATGTAGGTACGCAAAACTGTAAATAAGCGACTTATGTTAAAAATTGTTTTTACGCTGTGTTGGTGTTTGTGTTGTGATAAAATGATACAGGCGTATATTTAATTGCAACACAATGTATCACAACGCATGGCAATGCGTCACAAAGCTTTGCCATGCACTGCCACAGTTAATTTAAGGTTTTAAAAAAAATTATGGACTGCGATGCTTTCTAACAACGCACTGCAGCGCATGTGCATGGCATACACCACAATATGTGTATATTATGTCGGGGGAGGGAGGGGTTGTGCTTTTTTCTATTAGTTTTTTAGTTGTTTTTTTTTACACATTTTTAATTTATTTTTAAATTATTATTATATTTTTTTAAATTGTAATTAAAAAAAAAATGTTTATCTTTTTTTTACTGTTGGGGGGGGGGGTGGCTACGGTGAAATATCTGGGGTCTAAACAGACCCCTGACATTTCCCTTTTGAAACAGAAAAAGAAATTGAGAACACAGAGTCCTCAATTTCTTTTTCTGCAGCCTCAGCACTCAATGAATGGGAAGCACTCAGTACAGAGGCTTCCCATTCATTCAGAAACTAATGATAGTAAATATTTTTACTATCACCAGTTTATGAATGGGGAGAAGCCTCTGTACTGAGTGCTACTCCCCATTCATACATTCTTGAATGAACAGGCTGTGATGTAAATCACAGCCTGTACATTCATAACTGGGGACACAAGCGACCATGAGCTTATAGCAGAACTGTAAATGCCACCGACGTAAGGCATACTGAGCTGGCCAGCCGGGAACACTTTTGTTCCGCCGTGTGCCTTACGGCGGTGGCAGCGAAAGGGTTAAAAGATTGTTTGACCACCAGTAATTGTTTGGTGAAAGTTCCATTTACTGCTTTGTAAATATGCCCCGATCTGTGTCACTGCTCCTGCTTAGCACTGCCTTGCTGAGCTACAAAAATGAATAAATGTTCTGTTCCGTACCCGTCTCAGTGCAGCATATTTCTTTTCGTTTTCTAGAACAAGCACAACTTTCCTAATTTCGGCTGCTTGTTTATGCTTTCAGGCAACCTTTCGCTGCTAAAACTGCATCAATACAATCATGCTAGTTTTACACATATTATAGTACATACAATTCTTAGAGTATGCTAACCTTTCCTTAAATATATACTTACATTTCCTGAAATGTCAGTCTGGGAACTAACATTTCGGCACAAAGATAGACAGGAGCTAGCCAAAGAAGTCTCACTGGTCCAGAGGTCTGACTGAGATCCTTTTTCAATGACAAAACAATTTTTCAACTTGGCAAGACTCTGTGGATAAAATAAATAAATAATATATATATATCTTAAACAAACTTTACTTTCGGGTAGCATCATGCCGGTATGTGAAACAGTGCCAAATATAATACAAGCAAACAGGCAGAGATGCATCTTAATCTTATTCAATAAAATTGAATAAACACAAACTAAATTAACATATTATAGCCACAAAAGCATAAATAACTAAGATTACTGAAATAGCAGAACAAAAAATGTTCAGTGCAAAAGATTTACTTGAATATTTATGTTTTTTGGGGTAATTTATGTGGATGCTATCGGTTTAGGGGCTGAGCTAGCTTAAGGATCAGGGATTAGAGTGTAGTTAAGAGTATAATGTCCTCAAACCATTTGCTTGTGCTCAATGAGGACTTTGCATTCTATAATCCAGGCTGCATATGGGCCTTTATATTTCTACAGGTCATTAAAAATAAGCATCATCAACAATGTAAGCCACTTGGCAGCAATCTAAGGTTGCTTCCTGCACTTTAATAAAGTACAGTGTAAATTAAGCCTATTAAACTCACTGAAAATTCCATTTAAGTAGTAAAATGTAGTATAGGGTGGAAAGTGACATTATTACACTGAGTAGCATGATCATGTTGGCATATGATGTCTGGTGACATAATTCACTATAATTATGATGGCATAAATTCACAATCACAATGCAGGTAATTAAACAACAACAGCAACAGTGTCGCCAGGGCTTTCAATTGGCCATCATGGGTAGAGGAAGTTCAGCAGCCCAGGTTCCATTCAATCTTGTTACAACTGAAGCAGCTGCACACAAAGTAGTTCTGCAGGAGTGGGGTTGAGACTCCTGCATAATATTCAGATTATTACCTAGTCCGAATAGCAGTGACTAAGGGCATAGTACTTAAACCACAGGCTGATCTCTAAGTTTACAAACAGACCTGACATAGCTGTTTTAAAACAAACCTAAAGTCTAAAAGAAAACAATACATAATACCATGTGTGATGTCAAAAGTAATTATCTACTATTTTTTTTTATTTTATGTCTTTAAATTTGATTCTAATAATATTAATCTGGTCTGAATGATGTTTTGGTGCTGAGAACCATGAAAGTGCAGGTTTTGATGCCCAGAGGCGTTAAAACAGAATGTTTCGGTTAAATAAACAATTTTGTCATGTAACACCTCCAGTAAACAGGCCTATGGCACCATGAGATCTTATTGGTCAACCCAAATCTCACCATCTGAGCTGCTTTGGGACACCTCTCCCCCTTTTTTTCTCACATGAGGGAGCCTTTTTGGTCACCATCATCTCAACCTAGAGAATTTTGTAGTTGGCTGATCTTTCCTGCCACTTTTTCTTCCAAATCATAAGAATACATTTGTCTGCCACTATCCCTACCCCTCCTTCCATTTCAAGATAGTTTCTGCCTTTTACATTAAAAAGAACATTGGTTTGCCTTTTCCTTCATCTGCCTCCGAAACCCTGAATGTGGCATGGGCCCTTAAGTTCTACATTGATTTTAGGGTCCATTTTCATAAGTCTGGTGTTCTTTTTTTCATTCCTGATGGTTCCTTCAAGTACACCCTGTATCTAGAGCAAACATTAGGTGATGGAATCACAAGCCTTCCCAGGGTCAGGACCCGTCTTTTCCAGACACTGCTCATTTCAATTGCACAGTTGCTGTATTCTGGGCCTTTAGCACAAGGCTTCTGTTGCCCAGATCTGTAAGGCCATTAAATGGTCATCCAGCTATATGCTTACTAATGTTTATAACATTAATGGTTTCATTGTGTGAAGTACAGTAGCTCTCATTACTCCCTTTGATGTCTTCACCAGGCTGGTAAAATTCTTATGGAACTCCAGGGAGTGTGTCGGCAGGTTTCCCTATGTCAGATCCAACTGAAAAAGACACACCCCATAACTACATCTCCCAAGTGTGCTTTCCCTACACAGTCTATGGGCAGGGAAGGTTATGTCTCTCTCAAGCCTACGGGGTAAATTCTTTATAAATATGCCCCTAAGTAAGCGTAGAAATTTCAATAAAAAGACCAAAACAAACATCACGTGAGCAAGAAGAAAGCCCCTGCTAGAATGGCCACAATTTTTTTTTTCAATAAATCTGTCACTTTGATGCAGAAATGTGTTTTCTACATAATTCATGTTTTACCTGTATTAGCTCCTGTTTCTCTCTTTCTCCTGAGCTGATCGCTTTTTTGATAGCTTTCATTTCATTCAAAATAGCTTGAGCTTCATCAAGTTTAAAACCACCATGGTTTCCTGACATTTTCAGGTCAATCCTGTATTTGTAAAGATAAAGGAAACAAAACAAAGTTTTTAGAGCAAGTATGTCCAAGCCCACCCATGTGGTGAATGGACATACACAAAATAGTCCAAAATTGTGAAGTAAAATCAAGTAAATAAACTTGCTTCAAAAAATTATAAAAAACTGAAAAGTGGTGCGTGCATATGTATTCACCCCCTTCTCTATGAGAACGTAATCTCATAGAATACGTAATCTCAGTATATATACACCTGTTCTGAAAGGTCCCAGAGTCTGCAACACCACTGAGCAATGGGCACCACCAAGCAAGTGGCACCATGAAGACTAAGGAGCTCTCCAAACAGGCCAGGAACAATGCTGTGGAGAAGTGCAGATCATGGTTGGGTTAAAAAAAATATATCCGAAACTTTAAACATCCCACGGAGCACCAATAAATCCATTATTACAAAATGGAATAAGTATGGCACCACAGCAAACCTGCAAAGAAAGGGCTGCCCACCAAACTCATAGACCAGGCACAGAGGGAATTAATCAGAGAGGCAACAAAGAGACTAAAGATAACACTGAGGGAGCTGCAAAGCTCCACAGCAGAGATTGAAGTATCTGTCCATAGGACCACTTTAAGCCATACACTCCACAGAGCTGGCCTTCATGGAAGAATGGCCAGAAAAAAGCCTTTGCTTACAGAAAAAAATAAGCAAAGACATTTGCTGTTCGCCAAAAGGCATGTGGGAGACTCCCCTAGTGTATGGTAGAAGGTACTCTGTTCAAATGAAACTAAAACTGAGCTTTTTGGCCTTCAAGGAAAATGCTATGTCTGAAACAAACCCAAGACCTCTCATCAGCCTGAGAACTCCATCCCCACAGTGAATCATGGTGGTGGTAGCATCATGCTGTGGAGATGTTTTTTTTTATCGACAGCGACTGGCAAACTGCTCAGAATTGAAGGAATGATGAATGGTGCTAAATACAGGAAAAATCTTGAGGGAAAACTGTTTGTCTGCCATGAGATTTGAGACTGGGACGGAGGTTCACCTTTCAGCAGGACAATGACCCTAAGCATACTGCTAAAGCAACACTCAAATAGTTTTGGGCAAAACAGGTATATAACCAACTGCCAACAGTAAAATGATGATGTCTTCCTAGTAGATTACCCCATGTCAGATCAGTGAATCTAAAGGATAACCATTTAGTATCTGGAAAAGGGAGCCACCTAGTACTGCAATTTTTCTTACTTTGCCCCGACATATATATTCTCTGTGCTACTCAGAATAAGCCATCCTAAAAATAGATTATGTCAATATATAAAGTGAATTTGAGTTCATGGATTCTGGACAAAGACTCTAACATCAGCAATTCTCAGACACTTACAGCCTACATTCCTAGGTTGTAAATTGTGGGGGTACCAGACAACGATGAGATAAGGACTGACCATGGTACCAGACTGTGTTAGACTGAGACTGATGAAGATGCCATGTCTCAAGCTTAACAAAGGACAAAAAAAACATTCACCCTGATATTTTTTTTCCTTTCTCATCATTACCACATAGGATAAAGAGCTCACAATAAAAGTTTCCTTGTATACAGTATTATTTTATAGGAATGGTATAACCAATAATTTCAATTGTCTTATTATTATTGTTGCTGTTATTATTATTATTACATGAAGCATCTAAATATTTGCTTAATTGAGTAAATATATATATATATATATATACACTGTATATCATTTTTTTCGTACATTATTGTTGTTTTTATTTTATCTTCAGATTAGCGCAAATAAAGAACTCGTTATTAGTTGGTTTGTGAAAATTAGTGGGAATTAGTAGGGAATGTTCCAGATCCCTGCCTGTTTTCATAAATGAAATACTTTTTTTTTTTTTATCAGAGTAAACGTTCTGACAGTGAGTGGGCATCTAAGTTAGATATAGTGTAATCCCTAACTCGTGTACGTTGCATCTACCTTTTCCCATACACCCCAGTATGTTTATTTATGCCTCTTCATATAGCCTATTGCTATAATAAAACTAATAAAAACTCACTGAAACAGAAAGAGCTAGAAGAAGTCTATAAGAAACATCAAATTCCTGGAAGCAAGCCATATAACCCCCTACTGACAAACTCCCCGGTTAAGTATTCATCAATTTTTTTTCATCATTTTAAAGATATGGGTAAAGGTCTGCTCTAATGCAATGCAGGGACAGCCCACCCCCAGACTGCAGAGTCTTAACGTGGGAGTGGAGAGCCCGGGGGACGGGTATAAACCTTGAACAGGACTGAATCTAGGATTAGTTTGGAATACTTTTAATGATGAGACGGTTCCAGCACTAAGTTCTAGAGATTCAGGATCCTCTTGGATCCCAGTAAGGTAAAAGTTTAGAGGTGTAATCAGATGCAACAGACAGGTGTGGTTTCTCAGATTCATCATCTGTCTTGACAAATTTCATGCTGATAGAATTAGGGTGACTGTGCTACCTGTGTGGATATAAATGGTGGGGTATGTTCCTGACACTCATTAATACTGAAGAAGTGGCTTGGATAAGATACAAAACATCTTCAAAATCGCAACAAATTCAGTTTGTGTCTAGATATTACTAGCTATACTATGACTTGAATAAATGAGACAAGGGTTTACATACACTTTAAATTAGAGTGACTGCACACAGAGTAGAACAGAGAGCAGAAAAAAATTAGGGTCTGAAAGCTAAAACACATGTGGCGCGTAAAACATCCAGACAATGGAGGGAAAACTCCATAGGATGCTCCAGAGCAGGACAGAGAGAAGGTAGAAAGATGGCAACCATGTGAGAACAAAATCTCTTTTTCTGCATCCCGTGTTATAAATGAACAGGAAGCCTCTATATGGAGTGTTCCTGTTCATTCATACATTGTGGAGATAGTATGTTTACCATGTCCATAATCATGAATGAACAGGAAGTGATGTAAATCACTTCCCATTAATTCATAATTGGGGACACAGTAAACATACTATGTCCTCAATTATTTACAAACACTCAGCGGTCACTGATCGCTGAGCGTTTGCACCCTTTCTCCATCCTGACTCGCTTTCACAGGAGGCAGAGCAAACAGTGCAGGGAGGAGAGCTCGATCTCCTCTGACAGCTGACTCCCCCCCCACGCTGCCAGCCTACGACAGCTGACAGCCGGAGGAGAGACGCTGGCCTCTGACATCGCTCTTGTTCCCCAGACCGCTTGGCCTCCTGTGACAGGTTCTCTCCTCCCCGCTGGACGCTGCACTGTGTCAGAGAGGACAAATAGCAGCGCCCAGCGGGGAGGAGAGAAAGCATGGATGCACCACTACTTTTGGAATTTTGCCAAAACTGCTATTTTCGGCCGATATATTTCGGCAGTCGAAATTTCGGTGCATCCCTAGAAAAAAGCCTGCAATTATCTAGAAGTATGTGTTTGTAGAATGTCATTACTAAACATTTCTAAAGGTGTATTTGTTGTTATTTTAAAGATATGGGTAAAGGTCTGCTCTAATGCAATGCAGGGACAGCCCACCCCCAGACTGCAGAGTCTTAACGTGGGAGTGGAGAGCCCGGGGGACGGGTATAAACCTTGAACAGGACTGAATCTAGGATTAGTTTGGAATACTTTTAATGATGAGACGGTTCCAGCACTAAGTTCTAGAGATTCAGGATCCTCTTGGATCCCAGTAAGGTCTGCACAGCCCAATGGACCTAGGCTGACTAAGCTGGAGTTGACAATTCCTACAATTATCTAGCTGTGACCATACCAACAAGGTGAAGTCATGCAGGAGGCACAGATGACCCAGTGAGACTGGACCATCCAGGGCCCTCATACCTAAGGCTGACGCACAATGGCCCATAAGTGAGTCAGCAACAGCAAGTGTCTTGCAGACCAAATGCAGAGCAGAAGTAAATAATGGCCTAGCTTAGGCTCTCAGATAAGCAGTATGCAAGTCAATTAGCAGCATCAAGAGTCCCTGTCACACCACCTGTAGAGAAGGGAGGGTAAAGGCCATGTGCGAATAGGTCACCTTAGGCTGCCACACAAAATACTAATTAAGCGAGACAGAATCTGCAAGGGTAGTGTACAGACCCACCATATAGTGGAAGCAGTTAGGCCATTCATGACCCAAGCCATCATACCAAAAAGTATGAAAGTGAAAACACACTCACAAGGGCAATAATGGAACAACTGCAATGCAGAAGCAGCAATGGGAATTGTGGCCGTGGCCCACTAACAGTGGGCAAGTGAGACATTTCCAGCAAGGGTCACCCATGAACCAACTGCGAAGCCGGCCGAGTTAAAGGCCGTCTGTGAAGGGATCATCCTAGGCCACTCTGCATGCAGTATACTAGTGAGAAATAACCAACTGGGTTACTAACAGACCAACTGCAGAGCAGCAGGAGTCAACAGCTGCACGTGACTAAGTCACCATAAGCCAATACACAAATGGCATACAGGTGACACAGTACCAACACAGGATACTAATAGACCACTAAAAAGCAGTAGGGCTAATGGCTTTGCATGAACAGGTTAACGTTGCGCAAACAGTATACAGTGAAACACTATCAATAAATTTAATTTCAGTTTTCAATCAATAGAGCTGACGTGTGACACCTTTAGTGTCACACATTGGCTGTAATTATGGGGATGAGGGTATTTCACTCCCCCCCATAATTCTCCTTTGAGTAGGGGAATGTTAGAATCTCTGTCAACTTTTTATTGTTGCTGCTGGTGCAGATTTTCCCTCCCCTCCGTTCAGTATTCTTCATACAACTATATAGCCAGGAATGTGTTTACCCCTCTGTACAGTACTCATATATCTTGGTTAAGAGATTCTGTATTAAACAACAGGTAGCTTTAGTCTTTCACTCTGCAGATGCACAAGTGGCCTGTCACTACACACTGGGGATAGAGATGCACAATATCCATATCCTGTGTTGAGGTGACCAAAAGACCCTCCAAGTCTCCTCCTACCCTATATACATTCTGGGAGAGGTTTTCCAACAATGTCAAGCCAGGAGCAGGCCGATGCCATCATCAATCAGTTCATCATTGCTTCCTAGAGCGAAACTAGTATTATGGTAAAATTTTAGTATAGCTGTTTATTAGGTTTATCAAGGATGCATTTTTTTAGGCTCTAGTTGGGAAATAATGCTGATATTCTATATGATACATTATTCACAAGGTATTTATGCAGGAACGACTCCAGTAGTTCTATAAGACATACATGGAAGGCTTGTTCTGAGCAATAAAGCCTTACTGAGCATAAAATGTCAATCACAGCAAGATCAAAAAGAGCCGTCTTAATCTTCCTTCTCTATTTGATCTTCACTGAAACGTCAATTTCCACTGCATCTATTCATGCTGCTCATTTTTTCTTCTTAATTTTTTAAAGCTTGACACCAAAAGAAGACAACATTGTGCATAACATTTTGGAATATATATGAGTGATTGCCCCAGTAAAAGGGAATGAAATCAAAACATATCAGTCTTAACTTCTTTGAATTAAGCGTTTAACGTTAAAGCGGACCTTTACCCATATCTTTAAAATAACAAAAAACCTTTAGAAATGTTTAGTAATGACAATCTACAAACACATACTGTACTTCTAGATAAATGCTGGCTTTGCATTCTTTGCATACCTTATTTCTCTTTTCTTCCCCAGTCTTCTGACAGGGGCCATGTTTACTAAGGGCAGATTACTTGCTCTCCTATTACTTAAAATTAAGTCATTTTGCCTTTTCAAAGCAGGAAGGGAATGCTCTGCCAGTGTAAGTATTTCAAAATCACAGCATTTTACACCTGCCATGTCTTTGTTATTATTAATCATCATACATAGAGGAATGCATTGGTAGAATTTGATTTTTGAGTGTAGTGGTCCGCTGTAATGTTTATGCAGTGCTGTGCTGATTTTGTGCTAGCACAAGATGAACCTAATGTAGCTCTACTTAAAGAGAAAGTAAAAAAAATGCTGGGTGGTGTAGATTTTGAGCAGAAGTCTCTTCTGCCAAAATAATTCTCCCTCTTTTCACCAGCAATTTTTTATCTTTTATGTATACTGTATGCTGCATGTCTCCAAGTATCTTCTGTGGCATGCACAGGAGTTACATCCTCAGTGGCCATCCAATGGCTGAAGAGTAATCACATGGAACCCGGAAGTGGCAGCAGGAGAGAGAAGGGGACTAAATATGAATCTGAAAGTGCTAGAGAAGGAAAAAAGGTAAGGCAAGGTAAGGTAAAAAGTAACAGAGACTGTCACTGTGTTAGCAAGTGGCAGACAGAAGGCATGTGGTACAATTAGGGCTGCAACTAACAGTTATTTTCATAATCAATTAGTTGGATTATTATTTTTTTGATTAATCGGATAAAAAACAAATACCATCTTTTATTTAAAATAAAACACACCAATGCAGTGTTACAAACAAAGTTTACTTCAGAATAAAACGGCATGCACATTTTTGCACTTGCATCGCACTGGAATGTATGGCATTGCAGTACCGCGCGTTCCAGTGCAGGTCATCACATTGCGGGCAGGAGGGGTGTTTGGGATGCCATTGAAATTAATGGCACAGCAACGCACATGCCCGAGCAGAATTTTCAGGTGGAAACCAAAAATTACGCTTGCCACTATAGAAGTGAGTACACCCTTCACATGTTTGTTAATATTTTATTATATTATTTCATGTGACGACGCAGAAGAAATGACACATTGCCACAATGTAAAGTAGTGAGTGTACAGCTTGTATATCAGTGTACATTTGCTGTCCCCTCAAAATAACACAACACACAGCCATTAATGTCTAAACCGCTTGCAACAAAAGTGAGTACATCCCTAAGTGAAAATGTCCAGATTGGGCACAAAGTGTCAATATTTTGTGTGGCCACCATTATTTTCCAGCACTGCCTTAACCTTCTTGGGCATGGAGTTCACCAGAGTTTCACAGGTTGCCACTGGAGTCCTCTTCCACTCCTCCATGACGACATCACAGAGCAGGTAGATGTTAGAGACCTTGCGCTCCTCCACCTTCCGTTTGAGGATGCCCCACAGATGCTCAATAGGGTTTAGGTCTGGAGACATGCTTGGCCAGTCCATCACCTTTACCCTCAGCTTCTTTAGCAAGGCAGTGGTCGTCTTGGAGGTGTGTTTGGGGGTCGTTATCATGTTGGAATACTGGAATTTATTATTATAAAAGCCCCATCATCAGTTTAGAGTTAGCTATGAATATTGGCCCAAGAATTATTGCTCTCACTCCGTAACATGGGTAGCGCAAACATCATACATATCTTCGGGGTGCACCCGACTTGTGTCTTTGTTAATATGTGTGCGTTTGCAGGTTTGGGGGACTTTACATTTTTTTGTGGGGTATCCTCAATTTTATTTAACTTTATTTTATTTTTTTACCTCTGCTATCACATGGAGGGGAAAGGGGGGCGCTCACAAGCCCCCTATTTGATAGCACATTGGATGTGACAGGTTCTCTTTAATGTGACCCTTAGTGACACCTTTCCACTCCACTGGGGAATGACAACTGCCTGCTAAGGCAGCTGAATTTCAACACAGCAGGCAGTGGCTGGGAGCAAAAGACACTATTTTAAATTGCAATAGCAGGCTGGCTACTGCACCTGACCACTGCCTGCTGTCAATCATCAGAGGAGGGAACTGAAGGAGAAAGCAAGTTAAAATAGCCAATAGCAATGCTTCCAGCCGCTGATGGGAGACCTGATGCTTGTTTTCTACAGCCGGCAGAAGAAGGGGCACAGGGGAGCAGCAGAGGCATAGGGGCAACAGCGAAGGCACATGGGCAGCAGCGGAGGAACGGGGGGCACCAGCGGAAGAGCGGGGGATGCACCGCTGTACCTCTGCATTCCCCCACTGGTGCCGGCTGCAGTGGTCTGTGTCCCCTCTGCCGATACAGGCGGGGGGCAGCGGCTGTGGATTCAACTAATCGAACCAACTAATCGATAATCAGAATTATTGACAACGATTCTCATTGATTATAATCGATTTAATCGATTAGTTGTTGCAACCCTAGGTATAATAGCAAATATTGGGAAAAGGTGTAGTAAAGATGGGCATAGGATAGAAGGTGTAGTAGTTACAGGATAGACATAAGAAAATACCGCAGGGGGAGAACGGGCACGTATACAACAGCAACATAAAGGCTCTTTGATAAAAAGAGCCAAAGTGATTTCAGAGAGGTTGATGAGAAGGGAGTAAAAGGGATGATGTATGCTTTTTATATGCTTACTAAACTAAGGGGAAATATTCCCAGCCAACTGAAAATTCCCTTGCAAAGTGAACAGCCTATTTGCCTTAAGTAAATCAGCCCCTCTATTACCTACAGTAAATAACAGGATGCATGAACTTATGTCTTTTGCATACTTTATGGGAAAAAAATGCTTGTAAAATGGTGCAAAACTGTTCATTACAATTGTGTGTAATCGCACAAACATAACATTTCATTCTCTCACAACGTTATTGTGCGATTAAAAATCACCCAGGTACACACAGCCTAATGCTAATTTTTTTTAAACTTTTTTCTTTTGTCAGGCAAAATGAACAGGGTTACTCACAAAAGGGTGAAGAGTTTGGAGAAGCCAGGAGAAGTTAACAATCTAGGCCAAAATAGCTGATTTGGAAAAATTCTCCAATTCAACTCACTTTCCCGTTCAGCTATGTTGTCCTAGATTGTTCACTTCTCCTGCCTTATCCAAACTCTTCACCCTTTTCTGAATAGCCCTGTCAATATTTGGAGCAACTTCTCCAGAGGTGATCGCTGAGAGCTAGGGAAACACTTAAAATTCAATTTGTACACAGAATATACAGAAACCTCTGTTTGTGCAAAGCTTCCTCAGCCCCTTTTTTGAGAGAGGATCAGTGTGGTAAAGACTGAACATTCCTCCTGGAACTGCTGGCTAACAAAAACCAACATCCTAATGCTTATTATGCCCGCTACACATTGACCTGCAATAAAGTTTCACAAAAGACCAGACTGGCTGTACTCCACACCCAGATAATAAATAAAATTAGCTGGCAAATGCTTCATGTTTCTCAATGGGAGGCCCCACTTGAATCCCCAAGACCCAACTGAGTTCCGACAATAGAGACATTCCCATACTCCCAAATGAATCAGTTACTATACTGGTGCAAAATATGTTAGTAGCTATGTAAAAGAGTCTGATTAGGCTACTATGAGGGCTGCAAATTAATTACCTACCGCCAACTGGTGTTCTTTTGCTGCTGATCAGTAATTGCATTAAGTAAAATGTAAACACATAAAACTTACTGACGAAGTGTTTGATAGCCATTTTCCTTGTATTGTAGTTCTTGCTGCATATAGACTACTTCTCTCTTCAGTTTGTTTACCTGCATTTGGGTATGTCATAAAGTGTCAAAAATGGTTTAACTTATCTGTTAGCAAAAACCAACATAAGGAATACAGTCATTTTATTGGAGGATCTGTGAGGTATTTACTGTACCTTGGAAGTTAATCTTATATTCCAAAATAATATATGCAAAATAAATACAGGAACACAAATGTTTTGCTTTTTATTCTTATTTTAGGCGTAAACAACCTCAGGAAGACTATTTGTGAACTCATGTGTTGTAAAGTAGCCACTACTCCAAGCTTGCTCTCATGATGGACTACAATTTCACGTTTAGATTACTAATTTGTATTAAGATTGTAGACTGTCACAGAAGTGAGCTTGGAATGGTGGCTACTTTATAACACACACACACAGGGACCATGGGGAACAAAAGTAGCCACCCTCCAGAAGGAAGTACAGTGTCATCATGAATTCAGAGATGATTTCAGGATCTACAGCTGAGTGATACACACATGAGGCCTTGTTCACACCAAATGCGTTCCAGGAGCAGAGCAGAGCAGTTACAGACCGTATCAAAACTGCGTCCAATGTATTCCAATGGTATTTTGGCCTCTAGTTCACACCGCAGCGTTCAGTTCCAGAGCATGTAAAAAAAACTGCAGCAAGCCCTATTCTACCTCCTCTGGAATGCATCAAAAACACATGCAAACGCCCTGGAACGCACTGAAAGCCCAATTTAAACGTAAAAAAAAATGTGTTTTTTTTAACCAAAAACGGCCGGGAACGCATCAAAAACACGGTAAGAAACATGGCAAAACCCACTTCACTGTGTGTGCAGAAACTCATGCAGATCTGGTCTGCATTTGGTGTGAACAAGCCCTATGATACATGTTTGTTAAAGGGTGCTTGATTGCATTTTTAAAATGTAACTCCTAAATTTAGTGTCACTTTAATTTGTGAATTATGAGTTTGTGGAGTACTGAATCAAATGCTTTAGCAAACTTTAGACACACTTTGTCTGCTGGCCTACCTCTGTCTGAATTATTGCTCCAATCCTCATAGAATGTTAATAGGCTGGTTTGACAAGAATGGTAAAATCATAAATCCATGCTGGTTGGTATTTATTATTATTATTATACAGGATTTATATAGCGCCAACAGTTTGGACAGCGCTTTACAATATAGGGCAGACATTTCAATCACAATACAATTCAAGACAAGATGGTAAGGAGGGCCCTGCCCCTGAGGGATTATTTATGGCACCATTATGGCACAGGCAAATTCTTGTATATAGTCCCCTATCATTCCTTCCAATACCTTGCATACCACTGATGTTCGGCTGACTGGGCTATAGTTATCTGGCCCCATTTGTGAATATCCATACCACATTCGCTTTTCACCAATTGATCTGTACCATTCCAGTCATTACGACTTCCTTAAAAATTAGGAACAATGATCAGGCTATCACTTGTTTAAGCTCTTTGAGCATTCACGGGTGTAAGCCATCTGGTCCTGCAGATTTGTTCTCATTCAGTTTTCTAGTTTCTGTCAGACACCAAGGTGCCTTCAGTACACGGTTTTTAGCATTACTGTTTTATTTTTTCATTAACCCTGTCCTTTCATCTGTAAAAACTGAAGATAAGAATGTATTTAATACATCTGCCTTCTCCCTGTTACTTTACTTGTAGCCAACTTTCCCTGTTAATTTGTTATGGGGCCTATGTCATTTGATCTTACCTTTTTACCTGTCACAGGTCGGCTCTATTGATCACGAAGTCAGCGCACACATACCACCGATCGCTGACTTCCCAATCCTTTCCCTGCAGAGCGGTGACTGACGCAGGGATTCCCCACCCCCCGCTCTGTTTCTCTAGGGCTGACTGAAGGAACAGATGGGGGAGGGGTGGACACAGCTGGCTCTGCTTCTAGATGTCAACAGTATTGTTGGGATCCGCAGCCCTGCGCTCTCAGCATATAGAGGGCATTAGCCCGCTATATACTGGGTTTTGGGTCACAGGAGGACATTAGTATATGTCCTCCTGTGACCCTGAAGAGAACTATGGCCAAAAGGGTTAGGTCATATTTCTCCTTTAAATAAGAGTTTTGTGCAGACTGACCATATTCTGCAGGTAACCAAGTTAAATAAATACCCAATATTCAGAGACCTAAGCCTCAAGGGATTTGGAAACAGATTCTATATATTTCCTGTGAAATAATGCCTTATTAATAGTACTAAGAGTATAATTTTGTAACACTGGTTTGTGCTCAGTTTAGATGATCAAATCAAGAGAATATAATACAAACATTTACCTAAGCTTGACTGCTTAAATGCTCGTAACAAAAACACACATAAAAATACTCCTTTACAAATTAGCCCTACTTATTTTAACTGTACAGTAAATGTATCAGTTTAAAATGGTCATAGACTTAAAAAAAAAAAATATATATATACATGGACATACCCTGGACTTTGCAGTAGTAATTTCAGCTTTCAGAATTTCAGGATCATATTTAGAATTAGAAGAGGAACTTGAAGCCACTAAAATAAAAGGGGAAAAAATCCACATAAGTTCAGGTACATAAAAAATTAACTGTTTAGTGTTAACAGACTGCTGACTCCTGATGGCGGTTGGGCGTTAAACAACAAAAAGTTTCAACACCTTAAACATCTGTAAAAAATAGGTCAAGGCAACTGGACTTTCTGTATTTTCTTGAAGACGTTCCACTGGTCATCTAACCAGCTTTCTCAATTCAGAATGACTTGTATTATAGCCACCCAATCACTTGTATGGTGCTGGGGAGTGTGCATCCCCCCTCCTCTGCTGCCAGCTCTCTTGGTCTCCGCTGTCCCCCATTCCGGCCAGGGACTGGCACGGCGGGTCTCTGCCGCTTGATGAGAGGCAGATCAGCACACTTTTACCAACTGATCTCCCCTCCAAACACTGAACCTGCAAGCGATGCCTATTGCATCGCTTCCAGTTTCAGCCTGTCATTTCTCCAGCTGCTTTAGATCTCTGCTTTACCAGCTGCTTTGAGATCCTGAGGTGACATTATGGGTCTAAAAGGCCGCTAATGTTTTCATCAAGAGGACCTCTCACATCCTATTTGCTATCACATAGGGAGCTTGTCAAAAAATACATTTCAGTGCAGCATTGCATGACTGAATAAATGCTAGTCACAGTACTTCAGCGCTAAATACTGAAAAATGGCTTGGACGGGAAGGGGATTTAACATCCAGGTCTTCAAGAAGCTTATTTACAAGTGAGAAATTATAAAAAAAATTGTAATGAAAGAAATAAATGTTTTATGGGGTTTATAAATCCATCTTTCAAACATAACTTCAAAGCATGCATTTTAATTTCATATACCAGGGGTTTGGAATTCCTATCGCCTGACGCCCGGGACATGCAGTTTCGGGCGCCGGGCGAGTAGTTTGTTTGTACACTTAGCCCCGCTCCGGACAAGCAGAGCCAAGTGTACAGTGTGGAGCCGCCGCTCGTATTCAAGTGATCTGGTCACCTGTATGAAACGAGAGGGGCTATTCTGTCCACACACCTCTAGCGGACCCGAAACCACGGAACATGAGCTCACCATAGAGCAGACGAAAAAACTGAGGTTTTTCGTCTGCTCTGTGTTATCACTGAGACAGGGTGCGCTGTGATCACAGCGCCACCTGTCCCAGCTGTCAGGAACTACACAGAACATCAGTTCTGTGTTGGAGGGCAGGTTCCATAAAAAGAACCTGTCACCTCCAAACTATCACTTAGAGGATTTTAAATCCCTGTGTGATAGGAATAAAATGAGGTGGGGGGGGAGGGGAGGTTTAAAAAGTTATGAAAAGGTACAAAATAATATTTAAAAAAAAGTGACAATGTAAAAAAAAAACCCCCGCTATCTGCATGCGAATAAACGCACGCATAGGACATTGTGTGTGCGTTGAGTGCTGCCCCCATTTCACTTTGCCGTATTGTGGTAGCAAGGCAGCAGAACTCTCCCACACGCACAATGTGCATTAAAGGGCAAGTTCACTTTCCCAATGGCGGACCCGAGACCACGGAACATGAGGTCACCATAGAGCAGACGAAAAACGTCCATTTTGCGTCTGCTCTGTGTTATCACTGAGACCGTGGCACTGTGATCACAGCGCCACCTGTCTCAGCTGTCAGGAACAGCACATCAGTTCTGTGATGGAGGGCAGGTTCCATAAAGAGAACCTGTCACCTCCAAACTATCACTTAGAGGATTTTAAATCCCCATGTGATAGGAATAAAATTAGGTGGGGGGGGAAGTAAAAAATAAAAAAAAGGTTATGAAAAAGTAAAAAATTATTATATTAAAAAAAAGTGACAATGTAAAAAATAAAAAAAATGAAAACCAACCCCGATGCCCCCGCCATCTGCATGCAAATAAACGCACGCATAGGACATTGTGTGTGTGCGTTGAGTGCTGCCGCCATTTCACTGTGCCATATTGTGGTAGCGAGGCAGCAGAACTCTCTTACACGCACAATGTGCATTAAAGGGCAAGTTCACTTTCCCAGGTAATATGGGAAAATGGAATTACCCGATCAAATCTGGCCCCCGTCTCTCCCAAAACTCCCTATCCCCCGGCTATACTTACCTTTCGCCAAACAGTCCTTACCCTCCGCCGGTACAGGTGACCAATGAGAAGCGCTATTTAGCACAGACCAATACAGTTTTGATTAGGGATGCACAGATACAGAGTATTTGGGCAAGTACTTGTACTCGGCCAAATGCTCGATATCTTCTCCAATACCGGAACTTCTGGTCAGAGGAAGATTTTCCTCTGACCGGCAGTGCCGTAGGGGAACATGGTGCCAGCTTCCCAGCCAATCAGCATCGAGCCGGCTTCCTGGCCAATCAGGTCATTACTCGCTGCCCGCTTTCCTGATTGGCCAGGAAGCTGGCTCAAAGCCAATTGGCCGGGAAACCGGCTTCCAAGCCATTCACAATCAAGCTGGCCAAACAACATGGAGTCGGCTTCCCTGGAAGTCAGGAAGCCGGGTAGCATCTCATTACCCGCTGCCCGGCTTCCTGATTGCCCGGGAAGCCTGCTCCATGCAAACGGAAGCACAGATACTCGGTGAGTACCGAAAGCAAAATATCGGTACAAAAGCCGCTATTGGTGCATCCCTAGTTTTAATTAAAACTATTTTTTTTTGTATCAGGACAAATAGATTGTTATGAAGTAAAAGTAGGTTTGGCCCCCACTTTAGCCCTTGGACAAGTAGTTTTTTCAAAAATTTCCACACCCCTGTATACAAATTAAATTAACAGCCAAGTATGATGGTTTTTACAAATATTTGTGGAGGTGGCTCCTTTAAATTGTACCCAATTTATCTCATTAACGACTGCATATTTCAGTAATGAAGTTGAAAATGCAGGCTATAAAGAAAACAGTTCGCGGAACAGAGGACCGTTTCAGGCCCAGCGGCGGTGACAGCGGTTACACAGGGAAGTGTGTGAGGGGAGAGAAAAAGGTACTGGGAGGTGTTCACCGTAATGCACAGAATGCATTAAGATAAAAACACCCAGGCTTTAATACTACTTTAAGCCACTTTATGATTGTGCAAAATGTATATGCAAAATATACAATTATTTCATGCAAAAATCAGAATTTCTTTAAAAGTAATAAACTTATACGATCACTTATACGATAGAACTGCTAAGGGAATGTGGGCGCTGTTTATTAGTGGACTGTTTAGGGAAGAGGGGGTACTGGAGGGCCAGGGCTTTGCGTGAGACAGCTATTATCGACTCTCCTGTGTGCTATCAATGCAGGGCATTAAAACCATTGTACCAGCACGGTGTATGGAGGCTGAGCGCTCAGGTTTTACTAGGAGCACGCAATGTCACATGTAGCATTATTATTGGCCAAATACTTACAACTTGGTTGAGATCCAAGCTTATGTTTCCAAAAATCGTGCAGCTGCCTGTATTCTTGCTGGGCGAGTTCAAGCCTTTGCTGTTTGACTTGGTAAATCTCTTTTTGAGCATCTAGAGCTTCCTGAGCAAGCACCAGATAGTCCTTTAACATGTGCTCCTGTTGTCTTCTCCATTGCACTCGAGGATCTTCTATCTGTGTGGTTTCTGCAATGAAATGGGCAAACATCCTGGATATTAAATACTGTAGACTTTCCAAGAGAGAATTATCCAATAACTGTAGCACTTTTCCATACAGAAAAATAGGACAGCATTAAAATCTGCGCTCTGCACTCTATCCAAAATGACAAAAAATAATGTTTTGGGTAGAGTTACACTTTGTACAGAATATAGTGCATTTCTGGCTGACATTAATGCCAGCCCCTTAGTGGATTGACACTATTAAACATATCATATTAGTAATGGAAAGCAAAATAATTGCACGGATTGACTTTTGTTATATAATCTATGTTACACAACACATCTGAACTGAGCACTTTTCAGCAGATCCTAGTTTACCAATAACCTAGAAGACCCACCTCTTTTTTCATGTTGCAACAGACACAGAGGAAGCAAAAGTTTGCAAATGTTGTTAGAAATTTAGCCTGGTAAAAATGATGCAACTGTAAACCCAATTACTAATATGTCTCTAAAACTAACATGTCAAAATGGATTTCAAAAGTAATTTTTTATATTTTTATATCTGCAGCTGTCATTGCTTTCTGGATAGGATGACAATGTCCAGTCACTGTTTCGCAATTGTGCTCTTGCGTTACCATCACACTTTTAGTTTTTAAAAGAGAATACAAGCAGCCATTTAAATACATACTACATAGGCATGGATCACTGACACCCACCCCGAGAAATGCCATGCAGCAATCGCTGTAGTGCATGCACGTATTCAGGAAGTCGTTGCAGAGTCTATAGCAGATTAGGAGCAATTAAATGCAACAAAGAAAAAAAAAGTATGGCAACTGTTTATGATATCCTAAATAAACTGTACAGCGCTATAAACCAATGTGTAAAGATAATAAATCCAAAAGTTCAAAACAATCAGTCCACAGCAAAAGTCCAATCCTTATTAGTGAAAATGTGAACAACTTTTTCAAGTGAAAAAAAGGGAAAAAGAAAAAACAACTTTCTCCAAGTCCAATAAAGTGCAGATGCAAAAAATTAAATGTCAAACTAATCAGTGTTCCAATCTGATGGTGCTCCTCCGTGCAATCAAAAAGACACCCACACCCCCCCCACAAAGAATTTCTGAATGTTATTAAAAAAATCAAGGAAAGCGTCAGCGTCCTCCCCCTTCGTAATTTGCTCCTTCCACCACGCTCATTACCGATATTCCATGATATTGAAAAGGCAAAAAGGAAACCCTCATGGTGCAGTATTAAACATTTTATTCCGAATAAAATTTTTAATACTGCACCATGAGGGTTTCCTTGGTTTTTAGATTTAATTTGTTGCATCTGGACTTTATTGGACTTGGAGAAAGTTATTTTTTTTCTGTTTCCCTTTTTTTCACTTGAAAAAGTAATTCACATTTTCACTAATAAGGATTGGACTTTTGCTGTGGACTGATTGTTTGGATATTAACTTTTGGATTTATTATCTTTACACATTTCCCTGGTTCCCAATAATTTAAATTTTGATTTGTAACTTTTTTTCGGGTCCATGTGCAACAAAACACAATGGCATAATGTATTGCTAGCGACATGCTACTTTAATTTTTTCTAAAAATGTAACGTAAAGATTATGGTGTGATAGTAACAAAATGTAAACAAATTCACAGCTGTTTACCGTTTGTAGAGCCGCCTTCATGCTCTCTCAAAGAAGTGATTTTAACACCACTATGAGCTGGCAAAGTATTTAAAGTTTTGCTTAAGGACACTTTTTGGTATTGTAGTTTGTCACCTTTTAATGGGCACATGCAATTTTAAGTCTTGACATATTTTGTATCTATTTACTTGACTCCGTTTCATCTTTTATATTTTACAGAAAATGTGGAGATTTTATTGTGTTTGTGTGCACAAAAATTAGAGTGTATTTTTTACTTAAAATTAAGGATTTGATGAACAGCTGCACGAATATTGTGCGGCATAAAACATTGCAATGACCAACATTCTATTCTATGGGTTCTCTGCTTTCAGAAAATATATAGAGGGTTATTCACAAAAGGGTGAAGAGTTTGAAGAAAGCAAGAGAGGGGAACCATGTGGCCTGAATAATAATAATAGTAATAATAATGATAAATAAAAATACTTCTAATTAGTATCAGCATTTCTCAAATTAGATTAAATTTTCTTAGCTTTTACCCTATTGGTGGGATATGGTCTCTTCTGGTTTGATAAAAAAGTTCTCAACAAGACATAAACTAATGTAAAATCTACAAAAGGGACACATGGGAGCTATATACTATATTTATATTTTGAGAGAGTAAAAAAATAAAGTAATAAAAGCTAGACACTTGTAAGCATTTTAGTGCCCCACTGGGTAATTCAATCTGCTTAATTAGACAATTATATAAGCATGATAGAGGTACCTCACTTAAAATAATGAAAATATTTTTTATACATGTAACGAATATCTAAACCCAAGAATAAACAATTTATACATTTAGCTTACTAGTTCTTAGATGGGGTGGCTGCATCAGTTTTCCTATTTTTGGCTGAATTTGGCTTTTCCCCTTTATTTTCTGTTATCTGTTAATCCTGCCAGAAGTACAGTCCTGTCCTATGGTGACAATTCTCATTCACTGTACTGTACCTATGCAGAAGCAGCATTACCACCATAGGCTGCTTTCCTGATTTAGACTACAAACACCTCCGCCCTCTCCAAAACACAGAGAGAGGTGTTCTGTAGTTTTGTAGGAAGTCCAATAACATTTTTTGAGATTCAGTTCACAGGAAGTTACCAGCATACACAATTTGTGGCATGATCAACAGGTATTTTTTTTGCATCTATAAAAAATAATGCAGCCTCCTGAAGTAGATATACTTTTTTTTTTAATTAGGATTCACACAAGCTAAATAAAACATTTTTGGTGATGATTTATTACATTATAGATGTATTACATTAGAATACAGATTTGTAAAAGAAAAAAAATGCCATGCTGACTTCTAAAATTCCATGCAGAAGATACAAAATGAAACTTATCACAAGCTGTTTTAACAATATTGCATTCATTTTATACATTTATAATGTATTGGTTTCAGCCATGATTCTCCATTATTGGCAAGAACATTAAAGGTGCATTCAACAAGCTTCCTTGTTCTACTGAGACCTCTGTGAGAGAATGGCTTCATTAAATGCTCTCCTATTGTAAAGGCATCATCTGCCACAGTACATAGGATGCATTTGGAGAATCAGAGCCAGGTAAAGGGCTGTCTTCTGGCAAATTGAGACACCCATTTTGACAGCACTGTCCAAATTGACAGTGTTGCTGTTACAATGTTCATAACTTCCATCAGCAACGACCAAAAGCACAATAGAAAAATATTTTGTAAATAAAATACTGTCTACCACTGGCAACTGGTTTAATCCTTCTAATACGGTTCCTGTCACCAAAACAATCAAACATGTTTTTTTTTGCTAAAATTCTTTTGCTATCACCTTCCCTTGTGCCTTGGTAGGGAGGTTTCTTCTAGAATCCACCATATGGCAGCACAGGTATCACTAATAATCTGGCTCATTGTTTGCTTTTACATATTCATTTCAAAATGCAGCTAGCTGTATGAGTTTCCAGTAGCCGGACATCTGATATAATTGAATATGTTCTCTCAGTATCAGTATTGAAGACACAATGGAGAACAAAAATACATAGTTATGGTATTTCTTCATTACCATCACCCTATCATAATCATGGTCCCAGAAAAATCAATCTGAGCACTTTACCAACAACCCAATTTCATATTGGGTCTATAGTATCCTCCCTAGAAATATCTTCAGTCTTTAGGGGAAACAGTTTTGAGCCTATAGATCCCACTGAACTTGATTCTTGATTCTATGATATTAACTTTTCTAATTTAAATTTACCTAGATTAATGTTAAACAGATTTGTGAAATGCTGTTTTTTTTCAAAAACAACGTTTATATTTAAAATGCTGACATGATAAGGTAGTGCATGTTGAGTTTGAATGTTTCATTTATTTTAGTTCCAGTAAAATCTATGGGGATTGTGTGAGCAGGCATTAACAGTCTTAAGAACATATTGGTCATAGGATGTCAACCTTGCAGCAGACTGCCATTCTAAAGATGGTCCTATTAAGTATGTAATTGCGGTAAGGAAGGGAGCACTTGGAGGATTCTATTCTGGAAGTGCAATGCATTTCCAAGAGCAATAATTATTTAAAGTAGAACTATGGGTAAAATCAAAGGTGACAAATATGCTGCAATCTGTCAATAGCATTAACACAGCAATTTTTGATGCCCACCTGTAATGTTTTATTACATCTCAATCCTGCCAGTAGTGTCATTATTTTTCCACTTCCATTAACAGTGACAATGTTACTTGTTCTAGTCTTAGGTGGATATTTAGTTTTAAGTGGAAAACTATTTAAAGCTCAACTAGAACTTAATCATATTACTTTACCTTCCTTCTCTGCAGGTCTGTCACTATTAAAGCACACCACTATTATCCCTATGTTTCACTATGGTGGACTATGTGTGCCACTATTAACCCCTTCATGACTGAGCTTGTTTTTGGTTTCTGTATGAATTTAATTCTATTTAGCATGCCATAACATTCCTCACGTTTCTACATGGTGCACCACTATTAAAGCCGTACATTTTATTTTATTTAGCACACGGATATTTTTCCCTTTTTTCGCCCTGCCACTGGTAAAAATCTTCAAATTGATTTTTTTTTACCAACATAATTATTTAGAAACATTCAGATAAAGACAATCTTTACCGTTTCAATTTTTCTGCCCACCATTAGTATGTATCACATTTCATGATTACTAAAAATAACTTGGATAGAGGAGCTTGGGGAGATTGTTAAAAAAAATAATCCACCCTGGATGTCCAGTATGCTAGGTACACCACTGAGTTACAGCAACGGTTTTTTAGTTTTGTAAAGTGGTTTAAGCCATATGAATAAAAACTGAAGGTAAGATCACCCACCAGTATTGTAGAGAGCAACCATTAATGTGCATTATCACAACACGCTGCTGTGTATGAGCCCTAAATGTCATTAATGTGTTGCTTTGCTGCTGCTACCACTCTGAAAAGCCAGATTTTGAAGACTTGAGTGGCAAGGATTTATTTAGTTGCATCTTCGGCCAAACCATTTATATTTTAATTTTGGAGTAGAATAGGGGATCTTTAGTATTCCGGTCCTGTTTTGTTTATGCTTTTGCTTCACTGTATATCTGAAGTCTGGGGATTCACTGCCAAAAACCCCCCAAAAACAATGCAAGTAAAGTATCGCAAGCAAGTAATATATTGCAAGCTTATTAAGTGTGTTTGTATGTGTGTGTATGTATATGTGTGTGTATGTCTATATATATATATATATATAAATACAGAGTGTTCCTGTCAATTGTACCAATTGTGTCAATTGTGGATATATTATGAGCTACTATGTCCACAATCGTGAATGAACAGGAAGTGATGCATAGCACTTCCTGTTCATTGATAATTGGGAACACAGTAAATATACTATGTCCTCAATTATATACAAGTACTCAGCTATCAGCTGATCCCTGAGTGCTTATAAGCGCTCTCAATCCTGACTCCTGGGTGTCACATGAGGCTGAGCCGGCGGTGCAAGAGAAGAGCTCAGCCTTCTGTGACACGTCTGACAGCGGAGTCCTCCCAGCGCCACCAGCTTGGCCTACCGTGACAGCCATCTCCTCCGCCACATCGCTCTCCATCCTGAGCGTTTCCCTGTGACGGGAGGCCGAGCGGACCACTGCAGGAGGAGAGCTCGGCCTCCTATGACAGCGCTCTCCTCCTGGCAGGTAGCGACCTAAGAGATCCGAAAGCGAGATACCAAGGGATAATCCAAAGGAGTAGTCGAGCAAGATCCGAGGTCGAGGCGGGTAGCAAAGGGTCAGAGACGGTGGCCGGTCCAAGGTCGGTACACGGGAAGTCAGCAGGAAGTTCAGTAAACGAGTAGCAAAGCAAATAGGATGCTTTGTGTGTCACACCATAAGGTGGAATAACTCAGCACTGAGCCAGGGCTCTGACCAAGTTTTTATAGCCAGGGGATGTGGGTCCGCCCCTTCCTGAGGGCCAATGGCAGGCGAAAGGTGTGTGTGGGCTGGGGATCCTCCCCCAGCAAAGCCCCCATCTGAAGCCTAAACAGGCGCATGCGTGTTGCGCGCACGTCCCCGGGCTGCGTGCGCAGCCTGTGTAATGCGCAGTAGCTGCCGGGGGTCCGTGGGTCTGCTAGGTGGAAGGGAGGTCTGTACCCTACGTCGTACCCTCTGGCCTCGGGGGGAGGTGATGTCCCTGGCTTCCTGACACACTCAGGCTCCTGACAGTTTCTCTCCTCCCTGCTGGACGCTGCTCTGTGTCAGAGGGGACACAGAGCACTGCCCAGTGGGCAGGAAGGCAACTATGGATGCACCACAATTTCGGCCGAAATATGGTACTTTCGACATTTTGACCAAAGTATGTTTCGGAGGCCGAAATTTCGATGCATCCCAAATATATATTTATTTTCCATGAAAAACACTTGCTTTAATGTGATAATCTTTAACCCCTTGCCATCCGCCCATTGTAAAAATAGGGGCGGACAGCAGATGCTTCCCGACGGGTAGATGTATATGTACGTGATCGCGCACACAGGCAGAAACCCACTGGCAATTTGAACAGCCATTACCGGCTGTTACATACAAGCGTTCGGCTGTCCCTACAGCGCTGAGTAAAGGAACGGACGGGGGAGGGGGCGGGTACAGCTGGCTTTGCCTCTAGATAGGCAGAGCCAGCTGTCACTCACGCAGCTGGGTGGATCTCAACATTAATGTCGGGATCCGTCCCGGCTGCAGCGGTCTCAGTATACCGCGAACAACATCCAAAACCGGCCTCTGGACTCTTGCTGCAAAGGGATATGCCCGAAAACCCTTCTGTCATCTCCAATGTTATCTTATTTCTGTAATCTTATTTCAAGCCATAATAGCAAGGAAGAGGATGACCAAGCTCATAGAAAATAAAGCCATTACTATCCAACTAGCTCTCACCACTTAACACAAAAACTCACTAAATATGGACAGGAAATTACCTTATTAAATCAACATCCATTTTCTTTTAATGGAAAAAAAAAGAATTACAAAAACAATTTTCACTGCGTGTTGAATTAACCACTGCTTCATAGCTGAAAATTCGTAATCTAAACGCATTTTCTAACACAAACTGTACTGATTTTACATAAAGCCTCTCGTCTTTCATCCTATAATTGTCACTGATGTATAGAGCATTCCCACTGGAGAGATTTGCCCTATTTTTCCTGGTGGCTAGTGTAACTGTGGCAAAAAGTTATGAGAAATCCAGTACCTGGGGGGGTACCACAACTTAGAGTGAGCCCAGTGCAGCCGTTGGCAACATGCAGAGTGGCAGTGGTGAGCAAGGTGCTATAAAGCTCTTTCCATTCCAGCACTCAGCACTGAAAGAATCCAGTACTGTCAGGTGGTGTGATTTCCACCAAACAGTTGAACTATAGTCCAGTCTCGACAGGGACACTGGAGCTTGTGTTCAGGCAAGTACATCGAACACCAGTGGTGGGGGAGGGTGAGATTGTTACAGCCAGCCACTGATCACCAACGCTGGGGAAAGTAAGATATTTTTACTACCAGCCAATGACCACCAATGAAGAGGAAATTATTGCAGCTGCTTATAACCATGCGGCGGTTACTATTACTGCCAATTACACAATTGCTGGGGCTTATTTTTCTCCACACAAGAGATGCTCTGTGAAATAACACGGCCACACTTCTAGTTTTACTGCAGCCTGCGAGTTATGCGCACCACATTGTTCTTAATACTTTCAAGGCCTCCTATTTTCATATGTTGCTAACAATGTAGGAGATAGTCTCTGAGCTCCAGCAAGTAGGGCAAATTGATTTGTTAAGATCAATATTTGTTAAGAACTGTACTAACAGCTACTGCTATGCACCAGCTAATTCTACTCCCTAGCAATCATGATGTTTAATTTTATGATTACTGAAAATAATTTTGATGCTCGGAGGGGATTTTATAAATAATTACCCTCCCCTGGGCCAGATATGCCACTGGGGAAATCCACAATTTAACAATTGTCACAGAGACTAGAAGGGATATTTTTTAATGGTGGCACCTGTCTAAGTGGGGAACCTCCTTTCACTTTGGAAAGATTTCCTCTCATTGTCTGTTGTTGTGACAGAAAGGGAAATCCCCCAAACATAACACAGACATTAAAAAAAAGAAAAAAAAAGACAGGTTTTAGCCATTCCTTGAACTAAAAAACAAAAATTATTAAGGCTTTTAATAAATTGAAAACTCAAAATAGTTTGCCTAGCTGATACCTTTATTATACATTTAAATTTGACATATTAGGCACATTATATACCCCCCTTATTTTAATGTATGCTTACACAGGTCTGACAGTGGGCATATACAGACATCAAAACATCAAAACATGATTATTACAAAACACAAAAATATTGTGGTATGGAATGCACAGCAGAATACAGGGCGAGATGGTTTGGTGGATAAAGGAAATATAGCACATGCCCACACAATGTTTAGCAAATAAATTGCTCATCAAGCATATAAGCCTCTATCACATTGAACTCATTTATAAAACTGGTTGCAGCCCTTTTGCGATTTTATGTGGTTCGTGCAATTTAACTATTAACATAAGTTGCCTGCATCCTGTCAATAATAGTAACAAATAACAATTAAACACTTCTAAAGACACACTACTACTTAGAGTTGTAAAATATATAAAAGTATCAGCACTATAACACTAATACATTGCAAAGTGTCCCTATAAATATAAATAAAGAAGTAATTTATAAAAGTGCATCAATAACATACAAATTAAAGTGCAACAATATTTCACAGTGTCAGGAATCACCAATATATAAAACATATATAAAAAAGATGTGTCAATACATAACAACAACAGTATGTAAAGTAAATAAATAAATAGTGGGGAAAAAATCCATGTCCCGATGGGTGGAGCAACCGAAGGAAAACTGGAGCTGGTTCAGCTTACATGGTTAAGGTTTAATATTTTTTTACAGTGCACACTTTGGTCTGCATTGCTTCTCATTTTGGGCTGAGTTAATATGGCATTTGGCTTTCTGGGAATGTGTGTGGTGGGATAGGAGAATTTTAACCAATGGACTACATTAAGGGTAGATCCCTGCCTGGCTCTACAACAGAGGGGGACCTATTGTTCAGGTCAATGTGAGCAGCTCTCTATTGGGTGTTTACATGATGGCCATCATCTGGTGGTGGAACGACTCCAGATTATTTGTGGCTATTTCTTTTTGGAATCATTTTTGTACTAAAATATAAATATATATACGCTGGGGTTGTGGATGGAATCTCCTTCTTTTGATGCACATGTTGTTTCATATATATAATCAAGTTGGTTGTATTTATAAGTTAATGGTATTTATATATTGTTTATGTTTAGTTTTGTAGCTTGTTCACATTCTACATGATACTTGTCTTATTATTTAGGACAGCCCGGTACATACCTAATTGCATTTGAAATCAAAACAGGTTAATCTAGTACTATTAGTGCCTGCTGAATATCATATTGGTGCAAGGTTATACTGTTTGTTGAAGTTAACACATAGCACTTTGGAAGGGGGTTTCTATTTAGCGTTATAATAATCTACATACATATTTATATATATATATATACACACACACACACACACACTGCATTAACATTTTCTACATGAGTGGGTCTAATTCCTCTTTAAGTCCAAATATTACTTAATTATTTTTACAACTATTTACACTATTGACATTGTGCGGTACTCATTTCAGCAATGGGTACACTAATGGATTATGCATAATAGGTCACAAAAACTTACGATTGTTATGGTCAACGTAGTATACCCCAACTTGAGCATCATAGGCCTCTTCCCATCCAAGTGGGAACTCATCCCCAATACAGTCAGCAAAGGTTAATGGTTTTGTATATCTGAAAAACAAAAGCAATCTTTTACTATCGTAGAAAGACTTTATAACTGAATATACGGTAAATATGCATGTACAGAAACACACATTTTAATGTTTTTTTATAACTTAAGATAAAGTAATACATACATTGTTTTTTGAGAAAGGCAAAACTTTTTTTTTGGTGATATGTTATTGCAAAAAGTATTTTTTTCTATGCAATCTTTAGACATAAAATATAAATAAAAATACATAATTACACTTCTACCTTAATCAGTGTTATTTTACAATTAATGTTACTGTAGATAAAAATATACATTTTACAATATAATGTGTCCTGTTTATAATGACTAAAGATTATGATTCTGGCACAAAGCATTGCAAAGTTTTTTACAAATTAAAAAAGGAGTTTTTCTTTTTAAACATTGTGCATATTTATTTTTTGAGAGCCACAAAAAAAAAAAACCACAAACAAAATGAATAGGCATGAAATAAGTTTAAATATGAATAGGGAAAAATATAAAAATGCAATCCTAATATCTTAGAAGAGAAGGTAAGATGGAGTTAATTAGGACTCACACTGGTTAATAAGGGGTTAAAATGTTATTTAACTACTTGAGTCCCCATCGCCATTTTAAAACAGCAATGGAAGAGTCACTATTCATCCCAGGACTGTTTTAAAATGAAATCAGCAGCTCTTGCAGGTCCCTATGGGGGTACAGACTGGAACTGACAGATGTCAGTGACAGCCATCATCCAGCACTAGGCCCACTGTAGAAACAAATGTAAACACTATGCTTCTGAATAGTGTTTACATAAGGATTGTAGTGATATCACAAGTGACATCACAGCATTTCCTGTCAGTACGGAGGCTCGAGCAGAGCTGTTGTAGCTCTGTCCAGTCTCCTAAGCAGTTGATCACTGGTATAGTGATCTATTGCTGGCTGATTGCAGCAGTGATCTGTTGCTACACAGCTGCATAGGGGGAGACCAGATCCAGACCCATCTTGAACAAAAAAAGAAAAAAAAAAAGAAAAGTGAAACAGAAATAAAATAACAAAATATGTGTTCACACAAATGTTCTCCAGATCATCCAACTTCATTGTTGCAGCCTCAGAATGGATAGATAGATAGATAGATAGATAGATAGATAGATAGATAGATAGATAGATAGATAGATAGATAGATAGATAGATATCCTAGAAATAAAAAAAAATATTTGCTTTTAAAATGAATTATTATATTGTAAAGCGCTGTATAATAATAATAATACTATGTTCTGCATTGTAATCTGCTGACCCTGGGGTTACCTCAACATATAACCTGCTGATACCATCGCCTTGTCATTTTTATCTTATGGTATGGTTACCATGGTATTGTGGACCCCGCCCACCTCCCCACACGGCTGTGAGTGGGGCGGAGAGAGCAGCTTACTATCGTGGTAATCAAGCAATGAGCAGCAGGAACATGGTGTCCATGAAAAATACTTAAAGTGGCAGACATGTATGTTCCATTAAGGTACCTTTATTTGTTTATGCAAGGATTATTTGTGATTACTTGTGTCACAGCATCTTGTTTATTCAAAATGGTGGGAAAGTGACGTCGATATGACGTCAGAAGGGGAGTTGTGAGCTCTTTTGATTGGTTAATGGCTGCCACTGTTATGTATATATATCTGCACTTGTATTGTTGGTGTTCACTTTTTGCTTGCCTGAAGAAGGGATCACATGGTTCCTAAACGTTGCTTTAAAATGTGACACTACTACAGGGGATAGAGAGATTGGCTTAGTATCAAGCTGGAGTGTAAGTGACTTTCTACCAATTTCACTGCACAGGCATGACATGCTCAAGTAAGTGCTTGCAATGTAATTGGAATTTAAGCGATTTCACACCTGAGATCACCGTCATGCTTAATCAATTCCTAATTTTACACTAACATTTTACACAAACTGATTTTTTTCTCCTGTGTGCATTGCAATGTCTTCCTGTCGTAAGGGGAATAAGGATCTAGCCTTACTATTCTGCTATGTTAAGTCACACTAACGTGATATCATGTTAATCAGTAGACTTTGTTAAAGAACTCCGCGCAAAACTTTTATTAACCCCTGGAGAGGGTCTACCCCCACACTGCAAGGGTTAACTGCTCTTTTTTGTGTAGGTGCTAAAAAAGTTTTTTTTTTTTACAGTTATACTCACCTGAACCATGGAGCTGGCTTGTTAGAGCCATCCTTACAACCTCTGTCCCCCTCCTCTGCACCGGTCTCAGGTCCTGTAAATCATTAGGTTCTATGCAGAGTGTCATACACAGTGTCACAGACGTCAAGACGCTGAGGAAGATTCCAATTCTGCAGTGGAGGAGGAGACGGGCTTCAGAGACCAGAGAAGCAGGGAGCCGACTCAACAGTGCGAGTGAGTATAACTCTTTTGTTTTAGCACATATACAAAAAAAGAGCAGTTAACCATTGCAGTGTGGGGATAACCCCGCTGGAAGGGTTAACAATAGTTTTGCCCAGAGTTCTTCTTTAATTATATTTGGAGGTAAATATATGGGGGTGTGCAAATTACATAAAAATTACAGGAAATTTCATTTTATTCTAACCTTTTACTATTTAATCCCAATAAAAAAAAACAAGGAAATAAAACATCTGTATCCAAGTTTGCTACCAAATTTAAGCTCTATTAATTCCAAAAAAAGATTCATAGTAGTTAGGGTAGACTACAAAACGTAAAAGATATTATGTGTAAACCGAGACTTTGCCAAAAACAAAATAACACTCCTAGGCAAAGTTACATAGTTACATAGTATTTGAGGTTGAATAAAGACACATGTCCATCAAGTCCAACCTATTGTGTGTGTGTGTGTGTGTATGGGTCCCTGTGTCATCTTGTTATTAGGAGTACCTGTACCCCTGTATATTACCGTTTCTCAGGAAATCGTCCAAAAGCTTCTTGAACGATTCCACACTATTAGCTGAAATTACTGCTTGCGGCAACGAGTCCCAAACCCTAACTGCTCGAACTGAGAAGAACCCCCTTCGCCCCTTGTGTTTGAATTTTTTTTCTACCAGTTTCAGGTGGTGGCCTCTAGTCTTTGTTACGGAATTAATCGTAAAGAGTTTGTTGCTAATGTCGCTCTGACTATAGAACATTTTGTACATGAAAATCATGCCCCCCCTTAATCTCCTTAATTCCAGCGTGAACATATTTCAATTTAGTAACCGTGTCTCATAGCTCTTGTCGGCGACGCAAACTCCTTCCAGCTAGATCCTGGGGACTAAAGAGCAGTCAAATTCTTGTGAGAAAACTCTTGCAATGGAGTGTCTTTTAATGAGATCCTGCTCTCCCCAGGAATCTTCCCAGAAGGACAGTGATGTCATGCCCCACGATGGAGATCTTTTTTTGCAGGTACATTTTATACTTATGAACAGAAGTGATCTGCAAAGGGATAGGGGGCCTGACATCACAGTTCTTCCAGCTAGATCCTGAGGAATATAGAGCAGCCAAAATCTTGCGAGAAGATGCTCTTGCAATATACTGGAGTGTCTTCTCACTTGATTTCACCTACTCTGCATTCCCCAGGAATCTTCCCTGAAGGACAGTAGTGTCACGGGCAGCGATGTTGAAGACAGGGCTAAGGTATATATCTAAATTTTCTTTTCTGTACAAGTACATTTTGGAACTACTAATGCCAGGTGGTTTTTAAAGATATTATATGTAGACCTTGCATTGTTTTGCAAGATCGGCTTTAAGTAAGCTTAGTAAAAGGGACAGTGCTAAAGCTTATTAAAGATAATGGAGGGGCATTTATCAAAACTGGAGCAAACAGAATCTGGAGTAGTTGCCCATGGCAACCAATCAGCATCTCTCTTTAGTTTGCTCAGGTAAGAGTTGAAAATGAAAGAGAGAAGCTGATTGGTTGCAGTGCAAATCTGCTCCTGCTCCAGTTTTGATAAATTCCCCCCAATATGTTTAAACGTCTGTGTAAACAAATCCAGACACGTGTGCTATTAAGGTTTAGGAAGCTATGGATACAATAGAAATTTATTTCAATTTTAGGACTTTTTGCACAACATTTTAAAAACATGAAATCTATGCCGAGCACCTAAAATGGTTTATGTTATGCTCAGGATAAACACATCTAATTACAACTCTCAGGTACTTGATATGCTCAAAATAGCTCCTTGTTTTACCACTGGTAATGCCACAGTTCCATTTAACAAATCTCTTGTGCAAAGCAAAGGTATAATGACTATTTTGCTCTTTTATAGTAAGCAATGATTAACAACAATACTGACATGTACAGACTACATGTTTAATATTCCATGAGTGCCTTTGTTTTTTTTTTTATTTATAAGGTATACTTTACTAAAATAACTATATAGATTGCCACTGCTGACAATATTTTGGTGTTAGCTGAGTTCAATATTTTCTAAATCACAGAATGGTGCCAAGCCAGTAGCAAGTAAAATCAAAGAGAATTCACAACTCATGATTTACATTATGGTTCTGCCCCAGCAATTCCTAGGTTATTGAGCAAGCATAACAGCCAAGCCTCCAGTATTTTCTATTTCAATATTTTTATTGTTTTACAAGAACACATAAACTCCACATTCAAAAAAACCACAGAAAATAAATACACAAATACGAATGTAAACTAGGCACCATATCATGTAGAACAAAACCCAGTATGCTGGGATCCATAAACAACTCAAAAATAGAGCTATAGTGTGCTATTTTTGAGTAAACCTCATAATGGCACATTGATAACAAAAAATTAGTATGCGAGTGTCAGAAAAGAAAAAAAAAATGGGGCTGAAGTGTCCTGCCTACTTGGGGCAAAGCTTGCATAACTGCTATGTGTAAAAGCCCAAAAAAAGAAGAGCAAAAAAAGAAGTGAAAAAGGAGAAATACAGAAAAGAGTAAGAGGAAACCACAGCGTTTTTGAAGGAAGAGAATGGCAGTGGGTTGTCAGACGCAAGATATAGATTAATGAAAGTCTACAGGGCGAGTAGGCTTGCCTCTGCC